AAACTGAGAGAGAGAGAGAGAGAGAGAGAGAGAGAGAGAGAGAGAGAGAGAGAGAGAAATCATAGTTAGATTACACTTTCTAAGCCCACAAGGAATCAAATAATAATTGCTACAGAAATAGCTCGTGAGAGCAAGAGAGTTTCCCCTCCCTACCCCACCCTTTCCCTTCTTATCAAAAGTCAGTTCCACTGTTACTTTAAAACTGTGTCGAAACGTTCCCACTGTCCTCATTCTACCCAATCCTACCGCACCCTCATCCCCATGACAGACCAGGGTAAAGGAAATTACCTGCAATCATCTCAGGAGTTACATCAGAGGATTAAAGTTAATCTGACACGTAGTGATTACATAGTTTTGAGAAAAAGCTCAGTGCTATATCTATCACTTTGCTATTGAGTCATAACTGATATTTCTGTAAATATGTATACTGAAGTATAATATAAATATTGTACAGTGTACAAATATTAAATGTTCTGTTCAACTAATTTATACAAAGTAGCACCGCTCCTTAAACCATCACGCAGATCAAGAAATAAAACATTAGTAACATCACAGGTGTCTCTTCCATCTCCGTCCTGGTCATGACTCACCCTCCCCCTCCCAAAGGTCAGCACAATTCGGACTAGTCCCTTTACGGGGATGACATTTATAGGAATCGAGTCTTACAGAGTATCTTTCTCCGTATCTGGCTTCTTCCTCTCAGTGTTGTGAATGAGATATTCATTCATGTTTTTGTAGCAGAGTGAGTACAGTAGACTTGTTCTTTGGTATCACTGTATAACATTCCCTTTTGTGGATATATGGCAATTTTGGTCCGTTTGGGTGAGGACGTTATTGATATGAGCATTCTCACGCATGTCTTTTGGATAACTTAAGTACTTTTTGTTGGATCTACTTGTATATCTAAGCGTGGAATTGAAACATCAGAGTGTATACGTACGTTCGCTTTTGATAAGTGCTACCAGTCGTCCAGCGACATTCCCTTCAACATGATACAGAGATTCGAGTTGCTTCCCTTCTTTGCCCCAATTTCATTTGTTTGTTTGTTTATCATTCTGCCAGGTATATACTGGTACATTGGAATCTTATTGTTGTTTTAATTTGTGTTTCTCTGATAACCAATGATACTGACCATATTTTCACATGATTATTGTTTACTTATATCCTCTTTTGTGAAGTGTCTATTCAAGGCTTCTATCCAGTTTTTAAATTAAAAACTGTAACATTGGTTTGTCTACCTTTTACTTATTGGTACAAAGGAGCTTTAAGTATTCTGAATTCTCAGTGCATATTGAAAGCATCTTATAAGAGACAGGGGTCAAGATTCATTAAAATTAAAAAAAAATCAGTTTGACACAGCACTGCTTCTTAAAAGGCTGTCTTTTCTCCACTACGTTGCAGTGGCGCTTTTGCATAAATAAGGTGACCATATATGAATGGGTCTGTCTATAGAATTTCCATTCAGTTCCAGTAGTCTATTGTAATAAATTTTGATAGTCCTGCACTTTTAGTCTTCAAAATTGCCCTAGATATTTTTGGCACTTTGTATTTCCTTTACCGTTTAGAATCAGCTCATCATTTTCCTCTGGCATTGAGGAGCAGGACTCCAGGATTTTGAATTTAATTGCGGTACATTCATAGTTCAACTTAGAAATAACTAAAATTTTATGTGGTGCTGAGTCTCCCAAACGTACTTATTTGTTTAGGACTTTAAAATTCCTCTCGATGAGTAATCCTTTGTACTTTTCTAGGAGGTGTATTAAATAGATTTCATTAAGTGTTTTAAATGCTGTTTAAATAACTTTTTTGAAATTTATTTTCTAATTGTGTGTGCTTACTGTATAAAAGTACGTTTTTNAATAACTTTTTTGAAATTTATTTTCTAATTGTGTGTGCTTACTGTATAAAAGTACGTTTTTTAAAAAAATACCTTAAATACAACAAATTTGTAAAATTTGCTTATTAACTATAAAATTTAGTGTACTTAATTTTTTTTTCTATGCACACAATCATGTTGCCTACAAATAATAACAATTTTACTTTTTCCTTTACAATCCTTATCCTAGTCTTTTCTTAATTTACTGCATAAGACCATCAGAATAATGTTAAATAAAAATGATAATTCTATTTAGAAGAAAAAATATTTCTGATCACAGGAGAAACTTTCAGTAATTTCACATTAAAATGAAGCTGGTTGTAAATTTTGCATAGATATTAATGATCAGATTAAATAAATTCAATTTTATTGCTATTTGAATGAGTCTTTATCATATAAAATTGAATTTTATCTGTTTTGTCAATTGAGATAATTGTTTTTATCATTTACTATTTTGTTTTCGAAGTATATTTCCTGACTTTCAAATGTTAAACCAACCTTGCACTTTTGATGTTTTATTCTTCTACTTATTTTACTGAATTCTATTAAATAATATTCTGTTTAGGATTTTTGAATCTTTGCTTATGACAGAAATTAGCCTCCAATTTTTTCTTTCTTTACTTTTTTTTTAGTCCTTTATATCAAAATTATGTTAATTCCATAAAAGGAATTAGAAAATATATTGTTTTCTAGCCTCCGAAAGAGTTATGTAAACTAGGTGTTATTTCTTAAATGTTTAGAAGTAACCAGTGGAACTGATAGGGCCTGGAATTTCTTTGTGGGAAACTTTTTACTTTGCAATTTAATTTCTCTGACATATACAGAACTGTTCACATTCTTATTTCTCTTGTGTTAGCTTTTTAACGTTTGTATTTTTCAAGAATTACGTCAATTATATTTAATCTTCAAAAGTTTTGAGTTATTCATAATCCCAGTTATCTTTTTAGTGTTTGCAGAAATCCGAGTGACTTTTATTTATTCCCCATGTTGGTAATTTGTGGCCTCTTTGACTTTTGAAAATCAGTATGCTAGGAATGGATTAATCGTATTCATCTTTTCAAAGGAAAAAATTCTTAGCTTAATTTTTTCCTATTGTATATTTCTCTATGCGATTCGTTTCTGCTTTTCTCTTTATTATTTCCTTATTTCTACATTTTTTGGTTTAATTTAATTAT